CTACGGATGCTACGAGTGCGGGAAAGGTTTCGGCAGCAGTTCGGCTTTATTAACCCATCGCCGGATCCATACGGGCGAAAAACCCTATAAGTGCCCCGAATGCGGCGATGGCTTCAATCAAAATTCGGCGTTAGCGGCTCATCGGCGGATCCATACGGGCGAAAAACCCTATAAGTGCCCCGAATGCGGGAAAGGTTTCGGTCACGGTTCGACGTTGGTTAAACGATGGCTTCAATCAAAATTCGGCGTTAGCGGCTCATCGGCGGATCCATACGGGCGAAAAACCCTATAAGTGCCCCGAATGCGGGAAAGGTTTCGGTCACGGTTCGACGTTGGTTAAACATCGTCGAATACATACGGGGGAAAAACCTTACGTTTGCGAAGAGTGCGGGAAAAGCTTTAGTATCCGTTCGACCCATACCCGACATCGGAAAACCCATACGGGTGAACGACCCTATAGATGTCCCGAGTGCGGGAAGAGTTTTAGCGATAGCTCTTACTTCGTTCAACATCAACGCCTTCATATAGGCGACATGCCCTACGCTTGCCGCGATTGCGGGAAGCATTTTATATGGAGTTCGGCTTTAATTCGTCATCGGCGGATCCACACCGGCGAGAAACCCTATAAGTGTCCCGATTGCGGGAAGAGTTTTAGCGAGAATTCGACGTTGCTCCGGCATCGACGGATCCATACGGGCGAGAAATTCTATAAGTGCGCTCAATGCGGGAAGAGCTTCAACGAGAGCTCCTCGTTGATGCGTCACCAACGCGTCCACACGGGTGAAAGACCCTACCGGTGTCCCCAGTGCGGGAAGAGCTTCGTGGACAGCTCGACCCTCATCTGTCACCAACGGATCCATACGGGCGAACGACCCTACGCCTGCCCCGACTGCGGGAAGAGCTTTGCCGAGAGCTCCACGCTCATCACCCATCATCGTATCCATACGGGAGAGAAACCCTATACGTGCCCCGATTGCGGGAAGAGCTTCAGTCAAAGCTCCAACTTGGTGACCCATCAACGTATCCATACGGGGGAACGACCCTATAGCTGCGCCCAGTGCGGGAAGAGTTTTTACCGGAGCTCGGATCTCGTCCGTCATCACCGGACCCACCTCGGGGACCACCTTAAATGAAGGGGGGGGGGGAACGAGGACACGACGACGGTCAAGGTCACCCCGTTTTCCAAGCTCCGCGCCCACCGATGACGCTTTCTCCAGCTCCTCGGGGACCACGAAATGGCGTCGGCTCAGGGTCCGCTTCACTTCCCGCCCCGTATTTTAATTTTAATTTTAATATTTTTTGTGGTCGAGCGTCTTTCGGTTCGGGGGGTTTTTTTTTTTTTTACCAAAATAAGGCCAAAACCCCCCCAAAAAAAAGTCTTTGTCATGGCGACGCCCTCCTCAAGGGACAAAGGGGACGCGGCAGGATGGGACCCCGGCTGTTTCGGGGGAGGAAATGGTATTTTAGGGGGACTTTTGGAGAGGGGGTTTTTCAACCTGTGCTGAAGGAGAAGCGGGGCTACGAGGCGGGATTGAGTCGTCTCGAGGCGGAAAAACCCCTT